CAGTGGCACAATCTCGGCTCACTGCAACCTCCGTCTCCTGGGTTCAAGAGATTCTCCTGCCTCAGCTTCCTGAATAGCTGGGATTATAGGCACCCACCACTATGCCCAGCTAATTTTTTGTATTTTTAGCACAGACACGGTTTTGCCATGTTGGCCAAACTGGTCTCAAACTCCTGACCTCGTGATTCACCCACCTCGGCCTCCCAAAGAGTTGGGATTACAGGCGTGAGCCACCGCACCCAACCCACAATTCTTTAAGTATGAAATCATATTGAATGAGTATCTATCAAGCAAGGAATGCTTGCAAAATTATTTTCTTATCTACCAAACTAAGAGTAAATATCAAGAGGTGTTCATAGACACTGACACCTTCTCCTTTAAGAACCAACTATAGTTGATGAAAGACACTTGTATTTTTATTAGCATATCATGAAACAAACATTTAACTTTCTTCAAAAGGTTACAAACTATGTTTGTCAACATAGCTAGACTGAGGAAATACCCAACGTGTGCTACTTGCAGGGAGAGAGGGATGAAGGCATGAAAATTGTATAAGAACAAATCCCTACCCTTAAACGGCTTTCAATTAAAGTGGAGATACAAGAAGAGAAATAGGAATATGACCACCTTCCTCAATTCCCTTGTTTAAATTTCTTCCCCAACAACCCCATTTTGAGAGGCAAAAACAAACCAAATAAGAAAATTATGGCTAACTCCTTTTGGAAGGTCAACATCTTATGACAATGATCAGTCTCTAAAATTACAGAGAATGAAATGTCTAGAAAGTTATAATTTGTAAACAAATAAGGTATCCAGAAGTAAAATCTACAAGATTGCTTGTAGCATTAGTCAATGGTAGAAACAAAACTTAATGGTTGCTGACTTAGAAAATGAACCAACTCCCAAGGTAATGCACATTTGCCAGCATAATGCAGAAATACAAACTTGTAACTTTATATAACCCAAACATTCCCTCACTATGGTGTATAGCCTTAATGACTTCTGTGAATATAAACTCAGCATTTATATTGTTTCAGGAATAGTTGAAAAGATCAGAGATAAATACACTATTGAATCTGAAAGGTAGAAAAACAGTATATAGAATTATACTAAATCCCTCCATATTACATTCTGAAGTAAAAATATAATAAAATTTCAAATGATGTTATATGGAGTATCGATATTCTACCATAAAGAATAATTTTGGAATAGTTATACAATATATGCTCAGTCCTGATCCATGATCTCTCCAGTAAAAGCATTTGGGAAACTGGGAATATGCAGACAACAGTTACTTTTTGCAGATATCAGGTAGATTTCTAAGCTACATAATCAATGTAGACAGTGTTGAGCAAAACAACATATTTTATTGCCCCTTTTGCCTTTAAGTCTTTAAGTAAATCCTAGTCCAGCCCTCAAAACTGATTGCTATAATTTGGATATCTGACTCTCCAAACCTCATGTTTAAATTTGTCCCCCAGTGTTGGAGGTGGGGCCTAATGGGACGTGTTTGGGTCATGGGGGCAGATCTCATGAACAGATGAATGCCCTCCCTGGAGCCTGGTGAGAGTTCTCACTCTATTAGTTCCTGGGAGAGCTGGTTATTAAAAAGAGAATGGCACCTCCCCCATCGCTTGCTTTCTCTCTCGCCAAGTGATCTCTGCATAAGCTGACTCCCTGTCACCTTCTGCCAGGAGTGAAGCAGCCTGAAGCCCTAACCAGATGCAGATGCTAGTATCATACTTCTTGTACAGTCTGCAGATCCATGAGCCAAATAAACCTCGTTTCTTTATAAACTACCCAGCCTCCGGTATTCCTTCACAGCAACACTAAACAGACTAAGACACTGTTTCCCAAAGAAAAAAGTCCAGGGATAAGCTCACATTACACACAAAAGGCAACAACTCACATTACACACATAACAAAACGTCCTGTGTTGTCTTCTTTTTACCACAACGTTCACTTTCACATTGTTGTGTTTTATTTCATGCTTTTTTGATTATCATCGATCAGAAGGACAATGCTATTCTGTGTTGGATGCCCGGTCTATGCTTCAAAAAGTAAAAAGCTCACTGAAATAGAAGCTACAATGGTGGAGAACGAGGTCACAAATATCAATGAGACAAAGTGAAAAATGGCTCTGAAGTTTAACAAGCCAAGAAATACTAGATGCAGGTGATGCAGAAAAATCAGAGGGACGCTGTAAGGATAAGAAAGCTTCATACCCAAAATAGCAGAAAGATCAAATTGAAGAAATTAAATTTTTCAAGAAATGAAGTTTTCCTGCTTCTAAAGAGCAATTAGTATACTATTTATTTGCCAAAAAAAAAAAAAAATCTTTTATGACTCATAATAGCAAATCTAGTGGATGAAAGTTTTTGGATAGTCGTTAGAATCAGCACAGTAGAGTTCTCTATCAGACATTCTGTTACAACTAGATACAAATCTTTTATGATAAAAAAAATCAATCTTTATATGGACATAGATGTAAAGCGTATTTTTGAAAATTTAAAAGTGCTTAAATCAACTAAACATCTCATACTTTTTTCTAAATTTCTTTTCTCTCCTCTTACAAAAAGATATAAGGGAAACAAGAAAAAGGGGCTCACAAATTATAAAATCCACTACCACTCCTGGGATAAAAGCATTCCGAAAGATTTCAAAAAATGAAAATAAAAAAATTAGCAGAGACAATTATTTTGCAATATTATGCATGCACTCAATTTCAGCTCTGTATGATAGCTACATACAAACTTATAATTATACAAGCTTCAGGAATTCCAACTTGAAAACATGCCCTGCGCTGAAGACTAAACAAACACATTTTTTTATAGTAGTACCCAGACTGAGGCAATGCCCCTATTAAATGCTCCCATAGCATTTTACACTTCTCTTTTACAACATTCATCATACTCATTACTTAATGTTTGCAGTCTAAGATATACAGTCAGAGAGTTTTGTATTTTTATTTACCATACACCATTATAATCCAATGTCTACACAATTGACACCCATAAATGTTGGTTGACTGAATAAACAGACTTTTTATTAAATTGTCTCTCAAAATTCTCAGTCATGATACCAGTGCTATATTATAAAATATTTCTAAAATAAGGGTCAATTGCTTTATAGCAGTGACTATATAGCAGTAAAAGAGGGGAAGAGAGCTGGGTGAATGGAATCTATTCAGAATAATTTGAGTAGTTATTCTTTCAGTTTTACAAACCCTGCCCCACTTGCCGTTACCCTCCATTCCATGCCCAATGCCCCTAGGGGAGCATGGACATCTATTAGAAAAATTACAAAACACTGCAATATAGAGCAATTATTACTCATATTACTAGGTAATATTCCTCAAGTATATTGGATTACAAATGAAGGTTTAAAACAATTTTCCTGCTATTAAAAAAAATCTTTTCAAATTGTCAGAAAAATTCAAACTCAATCAGATATTACCATTTAATAATAAAGAGACTGATAATACATATTAGATATGCATTAAGACTAGCCAGAAAAGCAAAAGATCAACAAAGAATAATTTACTTACATCAATGGAAAAGCAAAAAATGGGAGTGTCATGGCAAGTCTTGCTGTAAATTCATCAGGAAGATACCATAAATATACAATTAAGCATGTAAACAGATAGAGAACTGAGGAATACAGAATTAATCTTCCAACCCATAATTTTTGTAATCTCTGATTTTTTTCCCTGAATTCTTCCAATGCTTGAATTTCCTGTTAAGAGAAAATTACTCCATGTTAATAAATTTCAAACTTCATTACAAAATTAAAATGTTAAAAAATTTTAACATGACAGAAAGATTTAAAAACTCTCAAAGTTCAATAAAGTATAATACCCTAACAGTTTAAAACAAAACATAATATGAAAAAGAAAACTATAAATGAAGTTAAAAATTTATAACACTTATTCTGACAAATCATTTTTATAATGCAAAATTAATTACTATTTTTAACCTATCAAATTGGCAAAGATTCTGGGAATTAAACTGGTATCAGTAAATAATATTTGTTAAGTAATTAATAATTCTTCCTATGAAAAAGATTTTTTAAATCTAGCAATAAGAAAAAGAATAAAAAAACAGCAACTCATCTATTTATCACTCTCAATATTCCCAGAAAATAATCATTTTTGATAATAGTACACAAAAAGCTGTGAAAATTTTGTAGACTGATAAAAACTGTTGTAAACTATCTCATCTATTCTGTCCTACCTGTAACATTGATTTACAGCACATTACAGCTCGAATTTCATTCAAATTGGCTCTGTTACTTGATGCAGACTTCTTAAGTCACTGATAGACTGGATTTTTTTGAGATCACATAACATTAAAGTTCTCAGATTCACTCTACATCATTTCTAAATTCCCATACCAGGTTTGGTGTCCAAAATATATACAATAATATTTACTTAGAACCTAAAATGAATTAAAATACCTCACAGCCAAAGAGCATACCTTATCTATACTTTCTAGAACTTCTACAGTTGAAGGCTTTGTCTGTTATGGAAACAGAAATAAGAGACAGCATTAAAACTTATTATCACAAACCTTTATATTTTGATATAATCATTAAAGAACATTTATTTCAAAATTAAATTTTCTCAAATGTTGTCATGCAAGTATGTATTCTTGTTTATTTATAACTAAAATTTATTTAAATAAAAATAATTCAAACAGGCTACATAAAATTAAAGAAATAAGAATTTCCCTACTTAACTTTTTAATCTTAGAAAGACTTTTAATTCCGATAGCTCAATAGATTACCATTCTTAACCTCAATAGAACACACTGGTACAGAAAGAAACAAATTTTAGCCAGGCACAGTGGCTCACACCTGTAATCTCCGTACTTTTGGAGGCCAAGGCAGGTGAATCACTTGGGGTTAGGAGTTTGAGATCAGCCTGGCCAACATGGTGAAACCCCACCTCAACTAAAAATTAGCTGGGCATGGTGGCATGCACTTGTAATCCCAGCTACTCGGGAGGCTGAGGCACAAGAATTGCTTGAACCCGGGAGGCAGAGGTTGCAGTGAGCCAAGATTGTGCCACTATACTCCAGCACTCCAGCCTGGCCGACAAAGCGAGACTCCATCTAAAAAAAAAAAAAAAAAAAGAAAGAAAAAGAAAAGAAAAACAAATTTTCCTCCAAAAAAATTCCTTAGGAATGATTACTCAAAAGAATTAACATATTAAAAAATTTACAGACTAAAGATGGTCTCATCTGCTACTGCTAAAAGTTCACTTAGGACTCTGGAGGTCAAAATCAACAGGTTATCTTTTTTCTAAATTCCTAAAGTGCTTTTTGAAGATCAGATTTTAAAAGGACATCTAAGAATACTTCATTATAGCAAAGCTTGTTTGCCAAAGATGTTTTTTATACATCAAGAATAAAAACCAGCCAAAACCATTCACAAAACACTTGAAAAAATATTTACCAATTACATACTCAACAATCCAAGAAGGTAATGAATATCAGTTCATTGTAGTTCCCATAAGAGTTATTAACATTAGAGTTAACCATATGAAATTGACATTTTGCTAAGTTGAAGAAGTTGAATACTGGCAATTTCATATGGTTCAACCTAATATGAAAGACAAAAGAAGAGAGATAAATTTGATCTTTGGACAGATTATTATAAGGTCATAACAGGGTCAATATAACGCTAATCCAAAACAAGGCTGTTCCAGCAATAGCCCAAAAACTGAATTATGTACCGAGTACAGTTAGACTCCATTATTATAGTAATAAGGAGTAAAAAAATAAGTAGTTTATCCTAGACTACTTTATCTCCTCTGACATTTGAAAAGAACATTTATATAATTTATACAATTCATATTTTCTAGCTGTAACTTTGAGGTACTTCCTCTAAAATCTTATGCAATAAAACCAAACTGCATGTCTAATTTTGTTTAACCTGTAATTTCTACAAGCATATATAGTGTGACTTCAGTTAATATTTATGACAAGCTTCAAGTAAAAAGAGTCTGTAAAAACAAGTATGGTATAAAATACTTCTTTTCTTTTCTTTTTTTTTTTTTTTTGAGACGGAGTCTTGGCAGTGTCACAATCTCAGCTTACCACAACCTCCACCTTCCATGTTCAAATGATTCTCCTACCTAAGCCTCCCGAGTAGCTGCAATTATGGGTGTGCACCACCACACCCAGCTAATTTTTGTATTTTTAGTAGAGACAAGGTTTCACCATGTTGGCCAGGCTGGTCTCAAATTCCTGACCTCGTGACTCACCCACCCCGGTGCCCCAAAGTGTTGGGATTACAGGCGTTAGCCACAGCCCCTAGCCTAGAATACTTATTTTCAACTACCTTTCAAAGGAAGGTAGGCACTTCGGAAGTCTAAGAAGAAAATAAGAAATGATAGCCATTTGCACACAAATACATAAATACAGAAATAAAAATAATTCATACATCAAAGTGAAATAACTCTGCTAAACAGAGGCATTGGACACCTATAGAACAAGTGGAAGAATTAAAATTAAAAAATAGAAAAGTAATTCAGAAGAGAAGAAAAAAAGAGTTAAGGAAAATAGCAAACTACTATTCAAGACTATAATTAAAGAAACTTTCACAAATAGCTTTATGTGACATTTTTATATTAGACTCAAGAACTAGCTGTCAAGAAAAGTACCTTACCCTCCATCGAGAAAATAATCCACCCATCTTTTATTTGTAGAAACTGGGCACAATGATAAATATCATCAATTGTCCAAAGGCATTCACAGCTAGAAATAAAGCAAGTATTTAAATGTTAGGTTAAATACACACCATATCCACTATAGACAATGCAATACTGCCTAAAAAAGTTATGAAATATTAATTTCTTTGGACTCCACACATGGAATTTCATTTCACATAGTCATTGGGATAGAATCTATCTTTTTTCTTTTTTTCTTTTTTTTTTTTTTTTGAGACAGAGTCTTTCTTTATTGCCCAGGCTGGAGTGCAGTGGCGAGATTTCAACTCACTACAAATTTAAGCGATCTTGTGCCTCAGCCTCCTGAGTGGCTGGGACTACAGGTGCATGCCACTACGCCTGGCTAATTTTCGTATTCTTGGTAGAGACGGAGTTTCACCATGTTGGCCAGGCTGGTCTTGAACTCCTGGCCTCAAGTGATCCACCTGCCTCGGCCTCCCAAAGTGCTGAAATTACAGGTGTGAGCCATCGCACACTGCCAAGTCCACCTTTTAAAAATTCATTCTTCAAAACCAGAACAGATTTAAAAATGAAAATAAAGCTTTTCAAGCTTTTTAAATGACAATGCAGTTTAGAAATGTATATTCTTACCATTTAGCTATTTTCTATTCTTTAAAATAGGTTCTCTATATTGCTCTTGTAACAAAGTTTTACGATACTACTTTCATACTACATACTTAAATAATTTTTACCACCCAGCTGTCTCCCAACTAAACTAGTTATTTGGAATAGGAGTGTTTTACAATGTCAACATCTCTTTACAAGTAATAATAGAAAGCCAACTGAGTTTTGAGTAAGAAAATAAGGATTACAAGGCTATCTATGACATTTAGTGAATTACTTAATGATTCTGAGCCTTAATTTTCTTTTCTCTAAATTAGAGTTAATAATCCCACCACTTTCTCACAGGATAGTCTTTAATATTACCATCTTACAGATAAGAAAACTAAGTGAAAAGAAGATTCGTGATTTGTCCAGCTCAGAAGCAATATGGCCTATAGTCCCTTTATCTTCAGATTTCTAGTCTCTATTACTAAATACTGCTGTTCAATATCCAAATAAACATTTCTCCCTGACATTTTGTATAAGTCCCTCAAGCCAGCTGACCTTCAATTCAGCTAGCTCTATAACCACTTCTTTTACTTGTTTTTGTATTACTCTCGAATGTTTTATAATAGATTCAACAATATTAGATTCTAAATCAACTTACTGGACAATAATTACATAAATTTTTATTCTTTTAAGTTGAAATGGTAAAAGTATATTTTCAAACTGACGTATTTTAACCAGGTTACTGTTAGATACTTGCCAATATATAAAACTACTTCTTTTCCACCCAAAAAAGGTTACCTGTGTCATGCTTCTCACACTTTTTAACCATACATATAATCAGAAAATACCAGCATCAATTAAGAACCCTCACTCTGCAACATTATTTATATGCTGTAATTAGCATAAGGCATAGCTATCTTGGAGTTTCTGAGAAAAGTAGCAAATTGCTTAACTATAAAATACTTTTACTTACAAAGTAATTTTAAAGGACAGAAATACCTATAATGTGTCTTGAAAAACTCTAATGTTTATATGAATGTTTCAAGTCATATTTAAGTTGCAATCTAAATATTATTAATCATTTAGTATTAGCTTAGTACTCAAATTTCTAAAGTGTGGTTGTAGAAAATCCAGGAACTTGAATGAATTAAACTATAAATTTCTATCTGAATTATGACAGTAAATGAATCTAAAAACCTTCTTGAGATGCTAAAAATAATTACCAAAAAGGTGGGTGGAGGGAGTAGATTCATATGAATCACTTGTTGTTCTGAAAATATACATCATTCCACTATTTTAGAACTAGTGTATAGTGTCTAGCAGTGTTCTGTACACAACCAACTCACATATTCTGGTCTAAAGTAGAATTATATCCTTCTATGTCAAGTTTGTAACCATCACACCCTGAGACTATGATCAGAATTTTTAATATTTGAAATTAATGACAAGAACAATATCAGCTAAACACTTAATAAATACTTCGTTTCTAGCAGGCCCTAAAACAAATGAGACGTATGTGTGTGTGTGTGTGTGTGTGTGTGTGTGTGTGTGCATGCACACGTGTATGTTTGCGTGTGCATGCGCACACGCGCACACGTGTTTTGAAACAGGGTCTTACTCTGTCACCAAGAATGCAGTGCAGTGGCGTGATCTTGGCTCACTACAACCTCTGTCTCCAGGGTTAAAGTGATTCTCCCACCTCAGCCTCCAAAGGTGTAGCTGGGACTATAGGCACACGCCACCACACCTGGCTGATTTTTTTTTTTTTTTTTTTTTTTTTTTTTTCTGAGACAGAGTCTTGCTCTGTCACCCAGGCTGGAGTGCAGTGGCAGGATCTTGACTCACTCACTGCAACCTCCGCCTCCTGAGTTCAAGCTGTTCTCCTACCTAAGCCTCCCGAGTAGCTGCAATTATGGGTGTGCACCACCACACCCAGCTAATTTTTGTATTTTTAGTAGAGACAAGGTTTCACCNTTTTTGGTAGAGACGGGATTTTCACCATGTTGGCCAGGTTGGTCTGGAAGTCCTGGCCTCAAGTAATCTGCCCGCCTCAGCCTCCCAAAGTGCTGGGATTATAGGCGTGAGCCACCATGCCCGGCCCAAATGCTTTATCTTAATTTTAGCATTTAGATACTACTATACCTCCATTTTACAAATGAGATATCTAAGGCAAGAGAAGTAGTGTGCTAACTAACATCCCAAAGACACTAAGCAGCAGAACCAAACATATTTTAACTTTTTTAAGTACCCACTTATTACCAATAACACAAAATCAGAAATAAAGTCTGCTTTACTTCTCAGTCTGTCTGTTGCCAAGGCTGAAGTGCAGTGGTGCGATCTCAGCTCACTGCAACCTTCATTGTTATAGCAATTTTTCTATCAAATTCTGATATTAAATACACATGTAATAGGTGGTACTTTCTAACAGATGTGAAAACATAACAAAATTAAATAATTAAATCAAATATTTCTCCATAGCTTTAATTTCATACCTCTTCTCTATTCAACCACTGGTTCTCTCCTTTCCACCCAAACATCTTAACTCCAAGTCCTGTGGCCCATCACTTACTGTGAAATTTTGGACAAATCAGTTATTTAACCTATCTGCTACTCCATTTCCTCATCTGTAAAAGAGGGATAGATAGTTAAGGACCCTCTTAAATATTGAAAGGCTTGAATGACACAATGTATTCTAAACTATTTACAACAGTGCCTGACACATAGTGATTGCTCAATATAAATTGTTTTAATTGCTGTGGTTGTTGCCATTTTCTAATCCATCTCTCATTTCTTTCAAATACATGGAAAATACATGTGAATCAAATAACCCTTGCATTTCCTTCTGAGGCATAAATCAATTTGCTTGCCCTGGATTGAACAGATGGTTCAACCTCAAGTGACTTGTCTCCAAGAACTCTTCCATTAACATGTACAGAGTGTTTCTTTCCACTCTGATACCACAACAGGATCTGTGATGACCTTAAGAGCTGGGTGCATCTAAGTGTGTTTTTCTTTGAGACAGAGTCTCACTCTGTTGCCCAGGCTGGAGGGCAGTGGCACAATCTCAGCTCACTGCAACCTCTGCCTCTTGGTTTCAAGTGATTCTCTTGCCTCAGCCTTCCATGTAGCAGGGATTACAGGCGTGTGCCACCACTCCCAGCTAATTTTTGTGTTTTTAGTAAAGACAGGGTTTCACCATGTTGCCCAGGCTGGTCTCAAACTCCTGACCTCAAGTGATCTGCCTGCCTCGGCCTACCAAAGTGCTGGAATTACAGGCGTGAACCACCACACCTGGCCTATGTTTTTCAATGAACAATAATGTCTACCACCTTATTTGAATGTTTTCTGCTAATGGCTATTCACACTCAGGTTTGGGTGTCAGAATTTTAAATCTTGGAAAACGGTTTTCTTAAATTTTCACCTTACTCCAAGCCACATTAAAATAATGTAATAAAACAGATCTGGATTCAAAATATGGCTCAACCACAGACTATGCAATCTTGGACAGATTAACTAAACTCTCCAAGCCTCAGTTACTGCATTTGCAAAATGGTAAAAATATCTACACTTCATGGAATTGTTGTATAAATTAAATAAAATTATGTATGATTTGGCACAGTGTCTAACACATAGTAAGTGCTTAATAAATTATAGCCATTATTATTATCAGAAAACAGATGTCATATTTATATGAAACACATTTCTAACTACTTATAAACAAAGCACCTATTTCCTAATTCTAAAATTGAAAATTATATTACAGTTTGTGTTTTTACTAAAATCAATTGCTCTCATTTTCTCTAGCATAAGAAATAAAGCAAAATATTTTGCAGACTCTGCCATTAAACAACCTTGTAGGCCTTTGAAGAAAACAGCAAAGAAAGTTTTATGTTTATCAAGTTCTAAAGTATAAGCTATTTAATCACCATCAACAGTACCTCCATAACATATTGTACTATACAATTGAAGAATAAAGGTGATTTGTTCTAGAACTCTAACTTTCAAATATCGTAACTGAAAAGACAATTCTGAAATAGCCCAAGCCACATTTATTGCTCCTCAAAAAAAAAAAAATATATATTGAGTGCTTAATCTATTATATATTAAGTGCTTAATATACAATGATTAAGTGCTTGCTTTCATGCTAAGCCAATTTTCATCCAAACTAAATACCACCAAAAAAATTACTATTTGGTTATAAAGATTTCTATATGAAGTCATACCTTTTTAATAGCCATATAACTTCTCCCTTTTCTTGTATTATCTTCCAAGTTAATAATATATAAACACTATATGAGTTTATTAACAGCATTACTGAGCTGATCTCAATAGATGACAGAGAAACTTAAAATTCTAATTTTAAACGCACCACTCCTGTTTAAGAAAATGTGTTAAAAGTCAACTTGGTCTTCTGGGAGCTGCTGAGGAAAAGAGATAGTATTCCCTGCCAGGTTGAACATACTCCTGAAACCAGGCTTACTCACACCCACCAAGCCACTGTTGAAGAGTCAATTTTGCCAGTGCTGACACCCAGGCCACAAAGAAAGGAGAAAACAGTAGACACTAAGCAACAAACAACGGAGGCCAGGGGGGAAAAGCGGAACATGGAAAACTCAGTGACTCACGGGTCTTGCTTAGTACTGTGACAGCACCAACAGCAAAGCTGAGTTCACCAATTACAACTCTTTCACAATCCGTAAACTACGTACTGATGGAATCTAGATTTGTTTTTCTCCTGCCACGCCTCTGACACTACGCATCTTCGCCCTTCCTCTCCACCCCACAGCCCACCATCCCTGGAATAAGGACAACGGTTGGAGCGCCTCTTCTCTAAGTGGCACGTACTCCACGCCCACACGCCAGAGCCCAGCAGCATGACACTGACAGTTTCCAGTCCCTTCTGATCTTTCCAACTCTTGGAGCCTCCGCACAACTCAGAAAAACAAGAGGCGGACAGAACGCTCAAAGCGGATGGCTGGGCGTAGGAAATGCTAGTTTGGGACCTTCTGACCCTTCGCCTCGACACAGGTGGGCCAAAGAGCTGGGGCTCAAGACAGTCACCACCTGGAATCTCCCAGAACGAAGCTGGAGAAACTACCAGCCCTAGAGGGAAGAAAAGGGTCTCGAGACTCCAGCACCACCCCTGCCAGTGTGCTGAGAAATCCAGGGTACAAGGCGGCGAGCCTGGGTCTGCGCGCACCACCGCGCAGCCAGACTAGCCGCCGCCGCAGAGCTCTAGGCCCCTTGGCAGGAGGCGGGGGTACCGCGGAGAGGCAAGCCGGGAACCCGCAGCTTATTTCCCAGGGGCACAGCTCAGCATGCCTCTCCCCTGCAGAGCCCTCCCAACTGCCCTCGTCTTGAGCGTTCTACCTGCGAGGATCGGGCGCAGCCCGGCCTGGGCGTCCACCCCAGCCAGTCTCGGCCGCCACCGCGCAGCCTGCCTCCGGAGCAGGCAGCAGCAGCCACTGACAGAGAGAGTGGCCCGGCCAACTCCTTCCCATCAAACCCCGCGCTCCCGTCGCTCGCCAATTGGCGCCGCGGCCGACGCGCGCCTCTCCCCCGACACGTGACCCTACCCGGGGCGGGCAGTTGTCGGGGCGGGTGGGACTGGAGATCGGCCTGCAGGTGTCTGTGCCTGTGGCCTCCGTAGCCAGCCTAGGCTGCTTTTGTCGCGTTGCAGGCATGTACTGCCATTTATTATGACTCTTAGAATATAGTTATTTCTTACTCTTCCGCTGCCTCCTTTGCTTTTAAAGCCTGTTCTGCCAGGTCTCGCTGAGAAGGAAACCCCTGAAACTAGTCCTGGTGGTCTCAGACCGCTGCGCGAGCGAAGACTGGGGAGTTAAGGAGGATGGAGATGGGTGCGTCTGGAAAGGAGTCTGTCCTGAGGAGTCCCCGATCAGTTGTCAGCCCGCCGGCAGCAGAGCAACTGAAGACTACACAGCCCAGGAGAAGCCAGTTCCCATTCAAGTCAGAGGAGAAAAGTCAGCCTGGCCCCCAGGAGTGCTTGACGCTCTGTCATTCACGGACGTCAAAAAGGGTCATTTGATGACTTGGACGCTTACCTCACCGGCGTGAGGTAAGCTTCAAACGCCATATCATGTTACTTTAAAGCCTGCGGATAACAACATAATCTGAGTTTTTTATCTTAGAACTCTCAACCTCAAGAACACTCTCCACAGGCCCTGATAGGTGAACCCACAAAAAACCACCCAGGCTATATTTGACTCAGATTTGAAACGCTGCCTAAATGGTATTAAGTTTCCTCCTCAACTGGAAAAGACAAATTACAAATGATACCTGAATGAGAAAAAGACTAGACGTGCATACAGTAGTGTGTGAGCAGGGAAACTTCAGCAAAGATTTTTATCATGCTTTACCCCTTTTACTTGCTCTACTCCATGTGCAGACATTTTTTATGGTTTTTTTTTTTCTATTTTAGTTACATACACAAAAGTTTCATTGATTTTTAAAGAGTATGGTAGTTTTAATATGTTACATTTAAACTTCGACGATGCAAAGAGGTTATCAGGAAGCTAAGCATTGTCTGGTTCGTAAGAATAATTTATTATGCTAGAAGCTACCACATAATTCACTGTGGAAGTTGCTTGCCCTAATTGCCTAAAATATTTAGTTACAGTTCTGTACGCTTGAAAGGCTGAAAGGAAGGGAACTAAAGTTTAGTGTGTTACTGTGGATCACTTTCCAAATGTAGAAGAAAATGGACAGAAACATTTCACCAGTTTTGATATGGAAATTTAGCCATTTTGTTTTTCAACCTTTGCTGTTTCAAAGTATTAAAATCCTGTGCAGTTTTGCAAATACATTTCACCTCAGAAAGATCTCCTTTCCTAAGAAGACAGGGAAGAATGGCTTTCCACTTGCCAATAATGTGTCCTCTGGTTTAATTGAGCCATCAATGTCTGTATTCCAGCCTGGGCTACCAAGCAAGACCCCACCTCTTAAAAAAAGGGGGGAGTAATGGGGGGTGGGGTGAGGGGACAGAGAAGAGCTGGCTGATGCACCAGAGTCCAGAAAACTACTCCTGCGATAAAATTCCCTAGGGAATTGCTCTACCAAGACTAAAGATTTGACCTGGCAAGAGGAGGGAGAGAAGTATTTAATCATTAACTCTTTTAATCCTCCCAACAACCTTTTTAGTATAGTATCATTTTTCAAATGAGGAAACTGAAAAGTAGAAAGATTATGTACACTGCTGAAGGTAACAACATAAAAGATTATGCACACCATTGTTACCTTCAACAGTGTACATAATCTTTCACTGCCTCCTTTATATTAAGAAGAGTTCATCAAGCAAATAAAGTGAGGGAAAGACATTACAAGCAGAGGAATCAACATATACACTATTGTGACTGGACTTCAGGCTACAGGGTGATTCTAAGTATTTATTCACAAGGCCATGTGTTAAGTGCTGAGGATGCAGGGATAAATAAACAGCTGTCCTAAAGCAGCTGACACTAGTGAGAGAAACCTTAAAAGAAAAAATACAATGTAGACTAAATAAGTTCTGTGATAGAGGCTAATGTTCACAGTATTGGAAAATGATAAGACAACAGCAGCTGGAGGGGATGTGGAAAAGCCAGTGAAGGTGCTGCTTTAGCAGAGTCCAAATGTCAAGAGTTATTCCCTACTAATCCTGAAATTGTTCTGGGATAGGGTCTATGGAAGTGAAATCCAAAGAACAACATAAAAGAACACCAGAGAATACTTTGAAAGAAGAAAAAATTGCTCTAGCCAATGGAGTTTTGAATGGTCTAGTTTAACAAATAGGTTGAATTTATCTAAGTGCTATGAGAACGTACTAAGTGGCATTCATTGATCTTGTCAGAGAGGTTAGGTAAGGCTTCTTTGAGGAAGTCACACTAGACTGGAGATCTGAAAGATGAGAAACTGAAAAGGTGAGAGAGGGAAACAGAGGGACTATCATGTGTAAAGCCCTTTTGTCAGGAAGGAACACCGCAAGCCTGGGGACTGAAAGGAGGCTGTTGTGGCTAGAGTCTAGGTTGCAGGGACAGAGTACACCAGTTTGAAGCTGGAGACCAGACTAAGCAGAGTCTGATTGGCCATATTAAGAACTGTAATCTTAAGAGAAAAAGGGAGGGGGAGGGTATTTGACATGATCAGATCTATGTCTTGAAAAGATCATTCCAGCTGCAGTGTGGGAACACAAGCAGAGCCAGCACTGGACTAATTAAATATATGACTGGTGGTTGGTGTTAGTAGACATTCAATTGGATTGGGATAGGAACAAGGAGATGGACAGAAGCGGGGGAAATGGAACAATAGGAAGTAAAGTGGGAGGTCTTGGTGATGGATTCAAATATCATGGGGTGGGATTGGGACTGAGGGAGAAGGAGGAGTCAGATAACTCAGAATTTCTAGCAGACCCAGTGGGTGGATAGTAATGCTATCATTGAGATATGGAGGACACTGGAAGAAAGCCAGGTTTGGGTGGAAAGGGTAATTTCAATTTGAACACGTTTAGCTTAAGATATTTTTGTGACTTCAAGGGAAGATGTAAATAATTGGATCTATGGGTCTGTAGCACTGGGCTGGAGAAAAAAAATGTTACCATTTGCAATTTGTCATTTCCTGCAGGGTACTTCTTTTTTCAAAATATGGATATCTTTATTGTAAGCAAGATGTTTTGTTTTTAAACATATTGAGAAGCACTTGAACCCAGGAGGCAGAGGTTGCAGTGAGCCAACATCGCACCATTGCACTCCAGCCTGGGCAACAAGAGAAAAACTCAGTCTGAAAATAAATAAATAAATAAAAACAAATATATTGAGAAGAACAGAACTTTAAAAGTGAGTCTGTAGAGCAGTTTCCCAGACTTCTCTGAGAGTCACCAGGGTCCCTTGTCAAAAACTCAAATTCCCAGACCCCTCGCCTAGAGATTCTGATTTCACTTGTCTGGTATAGGGGGCTAGAAATGTGGATTTTTTAACAAATGCCACTGGAGAGTCTTATCACTGAGTTTCTCTGGGAAGTGGTATGCCAATGTCAGAGGCAACCTGCATAAGAGTCACCACCGTGCTTATTGAAATATAGATTCTCAGGCCCTGCAGACAAAATCTCTAGGGATAGAAGGGTTATAAGGAATGGAAAAAGGAATATGGTATCATGTCAGGTGGTCCAAGACCTCACACTTCATCTTTGACAGAGGTGTCCTACGCTTTCCACTGGCCAGTGCAGAGGAAAGTGGGTGTCCTTTGCTAGGTGATGCATATTTCAGCAGCAGGCAGCCCTCACAGGCTGCAATTATAACAGCTCTTTGCCTAGGCCTCCTGCCCTGTCCACTGAAATGGCACTCAGCCCACTTAGATCATCTCTTTTTTCCACCAATCCTATCAAGGTTCATTGTTCCCTCCTGGCCCCCAAATCTTTTTCCATGTTATTTCCAGCACCCTGTCTTTCTACTCCCGGTTCAGGTGTTTTTCAGCGAATCTCCATGGCCAGAGGTGGGGAGAAATAGGGTCAAATGCTATGTTTCATTCTTGACATGGCTTTTTTTGTTATTGAGAACCTACTTTGGAAGCGTTTTTAAAGACTGAGCTGTGGCAGGGAGGAAAAACTTTTCCTCTGCTCTCTTATCTTTCCTTTTTGGGGGACTGCAAATTAGAACGACCAAGATAGCAAGAAAGAAAAAGAATTTAATTACATATGTACACAGAGAGAGAGAGAGAAAGAGAAATTCGCAAATAACTGTGACCCTAGGTGGTTAGAATTTGGAGCTTATATACCATCTTACTAGGGGATTAAGAAGGGCAGAGAGGCCCTTCTAAGAGAATAAATGACTTCTTCAAAGGAAGTGAGGGAGAGACAAAGCACTTAAGAGGAAGCAAAAGACTTTTTGGAAAGAAAAATGGACCTTTAGGAGACTAGATGGACGATATGATAGTTTTCTAACAATGTCTGGGTATGGTACAGATGTCTCCTCTCTCAGAAGAAAATATTAGAGTTGCTCCCCAGAAAAGGATTTATAGCAATTGAGTTCTTTGGGGTGGCTTTGCTTTTAGGCACATAAGGGATTTCAGGAACTCAAGTGCCTTCAGCTCAAAATAATTTTTATGCCGTTGTAGCTTACTCTGGACCCCTTCAGTTATTTGTTCTCCTTGTAGTCTTGCTGTAACAATTCCAAGTCTCTGTGAGACACTGTAGATGCTTTTGAATAGAGGAAGAATCAGAACATATGAAGAAAAAAATGATTAGAATGATTTGTTTGTGATGGCAAAAATACAGAAAAGTTTATAAAACTAAAATGACTACTTAACACAATAACACAAATACTCATGTAACCCCATGTGGGCCAAAGTAGAACATTCAACACCCTAAAAGGCCCAATGTGCTCCTTCCCTTCCTTATAACTTTCAAGTGCTTAGAGATGGCTACTATCATGATTATTATCATATTCACTTTCTTGTTTTTCTTTCTAGTTTTACTGCCTAATTACTCATCTTTAAACAATATCATTTTTGAGTTCTACGTAAATGGAATCACGGAGTAAGCTTTTTATTTACGTCTTGA